ATAAATACTAAACCAATAAATAATCTCACTCTCTGCTTGAACATTTGTTCACATTTGACTTTTTTCTATTAAATTTGGTATACTTTGATCTTCAATTAAATGAAATTGTATTAGATATTGATACAAAAATAGTTTTACTAGTTTTCTTATATCAAATATTATCAAAATATTATTTTATCTAATTAATATACAATATATATTTTATTTAATTATAGGTCAAAGGTTAAAAATAGTTGACCAAAAAAATAAAACCTCGAAAAAAACTCAGTGATAAAGATAGTAATATATACTCCCTCCGTCCTAAAACTTTCTTCCCACTTTCCCTTTTTCTATGTCCTAAAACTACCTTCCCATTAGAAAAAAAGATGACAAATGACATTAATACTCTCATGTATTTACACCAATTATCTTCTAACTCTATATTTTGAATGATTGCAAAAAAAATTCAAAAAATCTTTTTTTAAGGAGGGTAAAATTTGAAGTCAAAGCCAAAAATTAAAAATAGGGAAAAGTCAAACGGGGAAGAAAGAATTAGGACGATTCCAATTCAATTACAGTTCAATCAATTCCACACACCAAAAACGGACCCTAAGAGTATTTTCGCGGGTTCGACCCTCTTTCTAGGGGGGTGTATTCAATTAGAATTTTATTGGATTTTTTTAGATTTCAAAAAGTTAGTGGATTTCAAAAATTTGTAGAATTCATATAGAGTTTGGTTGATTTTTTTATAGAATCCATGTAAAGTTTGAAAAATTTGTAAAAGCTAGGTAGAGTTTGAAAAATATGCGTGTAGAATTTTTGGACCTTCTCTGTTTGGCCACTGACAGAGGAGGAGTTTCAGACGGCGACCTCAACGAACCCAGACTTCGCCAGAAAAGACGCCGGAATTCAGTATATCTCCCCCCCCCGTAAATTGTTTTGTACTCTTTTCGGTATGTCTGATTCGCTGCCCTCCACTGCCGCTGTGCGTGATTTGGAAAGGGTCTAGGTTTTAATTTTCAATCACCGTCGTTTTTTATTTGATCGGAGAAGGGTGATGAGGATTCTTTATACTCTTTCTGGAATCGCTGCCGTTTTTGATTTCTTGATCGGAGAATGTCCAATCGACGTATTGCCCTTCATCAGATTCTGCTCCCATCGATTTTTCTTACAAAATATGTTTGAAGTACATAGAACTCTGGTTTGTGAGAAGAGATTTTTAGGAGTGAAATGTAAGCATTTTTTTTAGTGAAAATCGAACAAAATCCATATTGTATTAAAACTCATAGATTTTTGAATACCTCAAAATTTTTAAAGACTCTTTAAACTCTAATTGAATACTTCAATATTTTTAAAGACTTTGAAAAATCCCTATTGAATACCTCAAGATTTTTAAAGATTTTTAAAAATCCAGATTAAATACACTCAAATTTTAAAAATCTAAAAAAGATCCAACAAACTCCCAATTCAATACACCCCCTAAGTTTCTAGACCTTGCGTCTTCATCTCTTTGTCTCTCTTTCTCTATCTATCTATCTCTCTCTCCCCTATAATGTCGTTCTTGATTAAATCAAAACGTATTTGTTGATTTCTCTATACGTCGATTCTTTTCGTTGATGCATAAATCAGCTTTATGTGCTATTGATATTTTTAGTCAATCCATTGTTTGGATGATTTTGCATTTTGTTTTGATTTAATAGTTTGGAACGTCAGCAAGCGCACCATTGGCATTGAGGTCAACAAAAAGGTACGTTTATACCCAATCTGTGCTTTGCTGCTTGGATGTTCTTCGGCTTGCGCTGGATTTTGTTCTTCATGGTTTATCGTCTAGAGAAATTTTACATCTTTTGGTGATTTTCATAGCATTTTAATGTTTGTTTAATGGTATTTTTAAGTATGGTAATCCTATGGTACATCCGTATGTACCTAGAAATAGGTACATTCCGGTAGTACTCATTCTCAAATAAAGTAGTAATCATTCTCGTACAATATTAAACATTCATTTCGAAATACGTAGTGCTCATTCTAGCAAAGGTATTACTCATTTTAAAATAAAGTACTCATTTTTACACATTTGTCTAATATAATTATAATAAATAGCGTAGTTAATGACTTTGGAATTATTGTATCTTTCCATTACATGAATATGAAACAATACAAGGATATAAATACTTAAGACTCCAAGGATAACAAGGAGTCACAAACGGTAGTCTCCTAATTATGCAATTACTAGGACTATTAATATATATGTTTAACATCCCCCCTCAAGCTGAACACCGTGTAACGAGTGGAAGCTTGGACACAAGATTCTGAAAGCGTGGAGATGACAAAGCTTTAGTTAGTAAATCAGCCAATTGATCTTCTGAAAATACATGTGACACAGTCATAGCTCCAGCAATGACTTGTTCGCGAACAAAATGACAGTCGGTTCCCACATGTTTCATCCTCTTGTGAAAGACAGGGTTCTTGGTGAGACAGATAGCCGACTGATTGTCACAGAGAAGATGCGGTGGAGGAGTTGGCACACGCAGATCAGTCAAGAGATAGGTCAACCACATAACCTCGGATGCAGCAGCAGACAACACACGATACTCCGCTTCCGTTGAAGACTTTGACACACGTGTTTGTTTTTCCGTACTCCATGACACCAGATTTGGCCCCAAAAAGATCAAGTAGCCAGTAACTGAACGGCCATCCGTCATATCATTCGCCCAGTCTGAATCAGAGTATGCACGAAGCTGGAGATCACCTGCTCGGAATACTAGACCCCGATCAAGTGTTCCTTTAACAAACCGCAGGATCCGCTTTAAACTTTGAAAATCATTTTGGGTAGGCGCATGCATTCTTTGACAAACATAATTGACAGCAAATTGAATATCGGGACGAGTGGTAATAAGATATTGAAGACCACCAACCAAGCTGCGAAACAGAGTAGGATCATCGAAGAGGGTCTCACCCCCTGGCTCGGCCGTCTGCCGTACGGGCAGAGGTGTAGGCGACGGACGGCAGTCACCCATCCCTGCCCTATGGAGCTCAGCTGCATATTTCCTTTGAGAGAGCACAAGTTGGGAGGCGGTGCGTGATACCTCAAGACCAAGAAAGTAGTCCACGGGCCCGAGATCCTTTGTGCGAAACTCTTTGCACATGCGATCAATAAATTGCTGAACGAGAGAGATAGAGCTGCCTGTGACAATGATATCATCAACATAAACAAGTAATATAAGAGTGCCCGCTAAGTGATGAAGGATAAAGAGACTTGTGTCATGCACATTCTTTCGGAAGCCATAGGCAAAGAGGAACGCAGAAAGTCGCAGGTACCACACCCGGGGTGCCTGTTTTAGGCCATACAGAGACTTTGTAAGTTTGCAGACGTGCCCTGGAAATTGTTGATCAACATATCCTGGTGGCTGAGTCATATACAGATCCTCATCGACTTCACCATGTAAGAAGGCATTAGAGACATCCAACTGCTGCAAGGGCCAGTGATAAGACAGAGCTAGTGCAAAAACAATCCGAATAGTCTGCTGTTTAACTACTGGGCTGAAAGTCTTAGAATAGTCGAGACCATACTCCTGAGTGTACCCTTTTGCGACCAGGCGTGCTTTATACCTCAAGATGGACCCATCAGGATTACGCTTTATTTTGTATATCCACTTACACCCAATCGGAGATCGACCATTAGGCCTCGGTACGAGTACCCAAGTTTTCTGATTAATCAAAGCAGAGTATTCTTCATCCATAGCACGACACCAGTACTCATTTTGGTACGCCTCTCGATAAGTGCTGGGCTCAGTGACAGGGGGAGAGGAGAGGGATGAAGAGTGTAGACTTTAGGTTTAAAGATGCCACGTTTTGCACGTGTCATCATGGGGTGAGTGGATTGTGGGGGAGGGGGTGGTGTTTGGGGAGACGGGGTAGGCAGATTTGGTATGGTTTGGTTATCGCTAGGGACGGGTTGTATGGGAACAGGGGTGGGGGACGGGTTTGAGTATGGGGTAGGATGTGGGTTGGCTGGAGTCGCCGTAGGTGACGGCGTAGGGTGGGGTGTGAACCCGGGTGGGACGGTGGGTGGTGGTTGATGAGGGGTGTGCGGTGAGGAGGCCACGTGAGCAGGGATGGTTGATAACGACTCGGGAAAGAGTGGGAGAACCCCAAAGTAGGACGACGGAGAGGGTGGTGAGGACAAGTGAGCGTAGGGAAAAACGGATTCATTGAATTGAACATGACGAGAGATATAGACACGCTTTGTGGATGGATCATAACATCGGTATCCTTTGGATAGGTGCTCATACCCAAGGAAGACACATCGTTTGGAACGAGGTTGTAACTTGTGATCAATCTCATGACGGAGATGGGGATACACAAGACAACCAAAGACGCGAAGGTGAGAGTAGTCAGGCGGGGTATTATATAGAGCTTCAAATGGGGAGAGATTATCGAGAGAGCGCTTTGGCATACGATTAATGAGATAATTTTCCGTTGCCAAAGCTTCAACCCAAAACGTAGCCAGTAGTGATGACGTGTAGAGGAGAGTAAGAACAGTCTCAATGAGATGTCTGTGCTTGCGCTCAGCGACCCCATTCTGTTCAGGAGTATAAGGACAAGATTTATGATGAAGGACCCCTAAGTCTTGTAAAAACCGCCCAAATTTGTGGTTAACATACTCATGACCATTGTCAGTACGAAAAATTTTAATGGTTTTGCCAAATTGATTTTGAACCATAGATTGAAAACTTTGAAAATCACCAAAGGCCTCAGATTTGTGTTTAAGAGGATAGAGCCAACAAAATTTTGTATAATCATCCACAAAGTTAAATAGAAATGATACCCCCCAAAAGAAGGAACAGAAGTAGGTCCCCAAACATCAGAATGTATTAATTGAAAAGGTTCAGTGGTTACACTAGAAGATAAAGGAAACGGTAATTTATGCGACTTAGACATAGAACAAGACTCACATGGAAACATGTCTGACTCAAAATTAACACCTAATTTAGAAAACAACAACTTTGTGATTTGAGACGACGGATGACCAAGCCGACAGTGCCATTGATGACAAGTAGCGCGCACGACATTGACCACCACAGGAGACGCCGCAGAGATTGGAGAAACAGGAGACTTGACTGGAAGAGAGTATAGACCTTGCTCACATGGGCCTCTGTACATCACCTGATTGGTAAGGTTGTCCAGGATCGAAAAGTCCTTAGGGGTAAAAAGAATAGAACAATTATTGTCAGAGGTAAATTTATGGACAGATAAGAGATGGGTATTCAAGGTAGGGACATAGAGTAGATTGGAGATGGTAAAGGTACCTGTTGGTGTGGTAACCTGTGCTGAGCCAACATTACAAATCGGTAAGGATTGTCCCGCAGCCGTAGAGACTGAGCTGGAGCCATAGTATGGATGAGAATTTTGTAACCTTGAGAAATCAGAGGTAACATGGGCAGTTGCACCAGAGTCTAAGTGCCATTTTGGATTGGATTCGGTAGAATATGCAGTATATAAAGCCTGAGGATTATGAGATTATGCGGAGGAACCCGAGAAATCTTCATTGAACCGGTTCCAACATCGCAGTGCACTGTGATTAGATTTACCACAAATTTGACAGACTATGGTGTCACCACGAGATGGTCCTCGCCCGCGGCCACCATACCGCCCGCCAATACCACCAGACCTGCCGCCTTCGCTGGTGCGGTCACCACTGCCGGAGAACCTGCCAAACCCCCTGCCGCCTCCAAACCGACCACGGCCACGCTGATGGGAAGAGTTGTCATGGGAGGCGTAGAGAGCAGTATGTAAATCCGTGGAAGAGTTTGTGGTCGAACCAAGACTAAGTTTTTGTTCAAGCTCGATATTGAGTTCCTCAGATAATAGCCAAGAAGAAACGGTGTTGAATGTGAGACCGGCAAGATTAGTCCGTACGTTCTGTTTCAGAGGTCCATATTCAGATGGTAGACCCCGCATAACACTAAGAATGATATCTTGTTCAGGGATTGGTTCACGGGCAAGAGCGAGTGACGTAACAATTTTTAAGACTTCATCAAGATAACTTTGCATACTAGACTGTCCCTTACGAATATTGTGAAGCTGTTCCTTTAGTTGAAAAATATGCGTACGAGAAAGTGAGTTATACCGTTGATGAAGATGATTCCAGATTTCTGCGGCGGTGGTACACATATGAACATAGTTCTGAATAGTTGGAGAAATAAGAGCCAGGAGAGAGGCTCGGAGTTGTGCGTCAATGATGACCCACTGGTCATAAGCCGGGTTGTCCTTTAGTATCGGATCTTTGCCCGCAGTGGTAGTGGCCTTTTCGTCGAGCACGGTGGGCGGCGGTGCAGGATCTGTTCCATCAACGTACCCAAAAAGTCGATGGGCAGTGAGAGTTGCTTTCACCGTCGAGGACCATGACGGATAGTTATTATCGTCGAGTTTTGTGGGAACCAAAGAGTGCAGGTTACGAAGAAACAACCGCAACCCGCCAGGAAGAGTGTCAAATACATCACGACTATCAGTTGACATGATCTACGAAAGCCGTCCGTAGGAGAAGAAAGAGCAGGGTTTGGGCACAGAGAGGAGGGCCTGTGGCTGTGACGGAACGTAGAGAAGAAGCTGCTGGATCACACGGCAGCGTGCGTCCGCAGAGAGGAGCTGATCGGAAATTTTTTTTTTAGGGTTTAGAACCGTGCTCTGGTACCATAATGACTTTGGAATTATTGTATCTTTCCATTACATGAATATGAAACAATACAAGGATATAAATACTTAAGACTCTAAGGATAACACGGAGTCACAAACGGTAGTCTCCTAATTATGCAATTACTAGGACTATTAATATATATGTTTAACAGTAGTGTTCATTCTTAAAAAAAACAATACTCATTCTCAAATAAGGAAATGTTCATTCTGAAATAAAGTATTGTTCAATTTTTTCACAATTAAAAAATTCAGTACCATCATCAACTTTTTCCTCTATTCGATTTGTTCCTACTCATTTATACTCTCGGAGCATGGAGAAAATCTAACTTGAATTAGGGACGATTATAAATTAGGGACAGTTATTGCTAAATCAACCCCACATTGTAGTATATTCATAGGGGATGAAAATCTAACTTGAATTGGGGACGATTATGGCTAAACTAGGAAAATCTCTCTCTCTAGTCTCTCCCTCCCTCTCTCTCTCTTTCTTCTTTTCCCTTCCACCCTCTAACCAACATTCACATTCTCCTTTGCCACATCATTTTTCTCCATCTATTCCTCCTATTTAAAGTAGCTCTATACTAAAGTGTCATTAGTGCAAAATATGAATACTACTAAAACACGTCTCACCAAGGCGGGTCTGTAATGTGAAAAAATGAGATTGTCATTGCGAAAAACTTACTTGTTGGACCATATTCAAATTTTTTTTAGAATACTTGTACTTTAAAATTAGATCTAAATTTAATTTTTAATAACCACCTTACACACCTTTCGGGCCACCCATGCACATCACTAAAGCACTAAACTTTTTATTTTATACAAAATTAGATCTAAGTGAGCGAATACTCATTCATGTTCCATTATATTCTTATTAATGATTAGTGGTTGATCTTCATATTGAAGTTGATCAGGCAAGTGAGCGTGACGACATGAAAATATAAAAAAAGTCGGGAGCAATGGTTTTAATTATCAAATTTAGAAGTATTCTTGTGAATTTTTGCTATGGATAACCACATTTTATTAGGGATCAATTTATGTAATTACTCTAATAATATTAATAATCATAATTATAATAATCCTTGGTAATAATAATAATACCCTCTTCTTTCCTAAAGGGTTTGCATAGTTTTGATATTGGAGTCTAAGGCATCATATTGATCATTTAACAATATAAGAGAGATAATCTTACACCATTTCAATTGGTGTAATATTATTTCACCAATTTAAAGGGTATACATACGGATTTTCGATCTTAAAATTTATTATTTCCACCCCCTATCTTTCCTTGGTAATTAAATCCCAAATCTCGGACTCATCCCTTACGCACCATGCACCCCTCCAATTGCACCGACCAAATTTTGAGTGAAAAAATTGATCATAAAATCAACAAAAGTTTAAATGACCACTCCTGCACACCTTGAATTCAATTGGTGTAAGGTTATCACCCTTCAATAAATGGGTGATCTTCATATTGGAGCTTATCGGGCAAGTTTGAGTAAGATTATAACCCTTTAATATATACTTATGTATAAAAAGATTATAAATACAATCAAAATGGCATAGTAAACTTCCTTGGTTAATTACTTTCACAAAAGTTTTGGATGCTAAATGTAGCAATGCATCAGTGGTGTTATTGAAAATAGTCTCTTTGGAGTATTTTACGGGGGTAAGACTGGTTATGCAATTTCACCATCTTTAAATACTTTTTACGATTATCAAGTTTATACTTTAGTCCGAAATGGGCTGCCGACCTTGACGAATTAGGGTGTTACAGAGGATGCACGGGGAACGTGGCAAAGAGAGAATGCAAATTTTCTTTCAAAGGTAAACAAAAATCATTTTTCTCCGATTGGGAGAAAATATTTTTCCTCGAAAAACTTTTTTCACTAATGTTATCAAAAATTCTTTTTTTCGTACGACCTAAATGAAAGCTTTCAAGCTTCATTCCACTGAACACATGGAAAGGAAAAAAAGATGAATTTGTCAGCACTCTATTTAAATAAAAATACTGAAAAACATATAAACATGTTAGTTATATTTAGAGGCATCCTTTAATATAAAATTTGAGAGTTTGATGCATAGAAAGTTGATACATCACCCTCCACGCGTCTTCTGCTTATGGCTCCTACGGGACTTTCCCAAATAAAATCAATTCCGTCTTCTTCGGCTCTTTGCAGATGCATTGCTAAATCTCCTGTGTATCTTCATCCTAATTTATCCCCAAAAATACATGGATTTTTCGATTAATTTCTTCACCGAAGGAAAGGAATCAACGGTCTATGCTTCGCCAAAGGAAAGTGTCAAAGATTCTGCCGATCTCTCTACAATTAGATGCCGATTCGGCCAATCTTCTTCAGATCCATGTCCGTCGCTCTGCATCTTATCAAATATTCCGCCAATCTCTCTGCAACTCGATTCTTTACCAACTAAAAAAAGGCAGGGAAAATAAGCGCACACATTCTTTTCCTTCTACCGTCGCTAAAAAGTTTGAGGGAAAATTATTCAATCGGTCAACTTCGTCTCCTTCTTTTGCGCAAGTCAAGTTCTTTTCCTCAATTCCTTCTCCGATCACTGCCATAGAGTTCAGAATTATGAGTCTTTAGACTTTCATTTGACAATTCTAATTTGATTCCTTTAATTTATGCTGTAATTTTTTTCTAAGGTATTCACATGAAATTGATTCATTTGCTTTATCCTGACATACCCATGTCTCTTTGATTCCCTGCAATTTTTTTTAGGTTTTTTATTTTTAAATCTGTAAATACATGAATTGATACAAAATTTGATCAAATATAATAAGGAGTCATTGAAAGCATCAATTCCTCCAACTCAAATATGTATTTTACTTAATAACTATATGAGCTTATGGTGATAATAGGTTTGGGAAATGGAGGGTTCAGAGGAAACTGATCACACAAGGGACCACAATTACAAAGAAGTTGTAGAGTTAGTGTCCTCTGGATTTTTGTAAGATTTAATATACAAAGGTTGTAAAACTAAGGTCAATGTGGGGAAATTTAGGGAAATGGTTAAGGAATAATAATGCGCTGCCCATGTTCATATTGTTGATACTCAAGTATACCTTTCTTATTTAATTTGTATCAGTTCTTATGGTAATGAAATAGGGGGTACGTAATACTCCGATGTTTTTCTAAAAGCCTCTTATAGCCTAAAGTACAATCCAGTGGTTGCATGCAATTTTTTTATCTCACTTGCGAATATATGGTTTTGATTTATTTACCTTTGATGTAACATAACAATGCTGTTGTGTGTGCTATGTGCTTATGCACAATGTTTGTACACCATCAGCCATACTACATGTTAATAACTAGAAGCTTAAATTTATAGTAATATGTAACATTGTTTGTTATTCCATATATCATTTGTTCTACTTATAAGTTTATATGTAGGCAAAATTAGCACTTGGGATTCGGTGGATGAGAGTCTTCGTAGTGAACTTGAGTTTTGCTTCAATCAACAAATAGCTTGGGCTTCTCATCTATGGTTGCAGGTGTGTACAAAACTTTCATTTACAAGCTACAATATAAGTGCACCAATTTATATTCCAAGAAAAGAAGGCATGGAATTTATTGTTGTTACTTATCTTATGTAAATTTCCTACGCTTTTACCACCGCTTCTACATATCTGTCATCACATCCTCTTAAGTTGTCATTCTTGCCTTTTCCTCTCTTTCCCAAAGATAGTGAGCCATTTCTTACATGCAACCTAATTACTACGTATTATGTTTGTTCCATTTTGTAATGACTATTCCACAAACCCCGAGGCATATTCAGCACCTAGCAGGCGTTAGAGTGGGGAATTGAACGACTTGGAGATGATATCAACGACTCTACTATTGACAAAAGAATGGAAGAGGTTGAAAGTGTAACGCCCTGCAACCCGGTCTAATAGAATTGATTAATTTAATTAATTAATTACTATTCTGGACCGGAGTTGGGAAAATAAAAGTTCTTAGAAAAATTATTTGAACATGTCATTAAATTCATTTTGACTGTCTGATTCCAGAAACGCAAATGGATCTCAATTCGGACCCGTTCGGGGGGAAAACCGCGTACCGTTCAGGTCAGATTTTGCATAACGGAATGAATTTAGGGGAGGTAACTCCCCAATTACTCTCATACGCCACCCATTCCCCCTTAATCCCATCATTACTATCATCATTATTTCCCTATTCATTTCTCTAAATTAAAACCCCCACCTCTCCCTTCATTCTCCTTCCACTTTGTAACTCCCAAATATCACTCTCACTCTCTCTTCCTCTCCTTCTACATTTTCGGCCAAGGCAGCAGCAGCCCAGGAATCTCTGGTGAAGCTCCGGTGGGTGCAAAGTTGAAGGAGAAGAAGAGCTAGGCCGTTAGCGCGAAGCGTAGTCATCGTTCGTCCGTTCGTTAGAACCGTTCGTTCATCTCGTCTCATCAACTCGCCAACCCCTACGTTTAGAGGTGAGTAGTTGTCCCCTCTAACTCTAGAACATTTAGTTATAATCTATGTCGTTATGTTCATAGGAATATCGTACGCAACCTATGTAGAATCTTTGCATGTTCGTAGGTTAGCCATCAAAATGTTACTACGTAAAACTTATATATATTTGTCTAGGAATCACTAGGAATATATTCATCAATGTTGTATTATTGTTCTAAAAAGAATCTAAGTGTTAAATTAGCAAAATGGATCAAAACGAAGCAAGGGACAGCAGACTGTCTTTGGGACGGTCGACCGCCGCTACGGACGGTGGACCGTTCCCACGGCCACTCTGACGGTCACCATCGTGACGGTCGACCGCCGGCCGCGACGGAAGACCCCGGTGGACCGTCGGCTTCCCAGACCTCCATAACGTAGCCCACGGTCGACCGCCGATAGGGTACGGTCGACCGTTCTGCGGGCAGATTTCTAGGCAGTTTGTAGAATGAGCCCCGTTGACCACGTTGACCCAGAATCTGATCGTTTGTTGCATGAAATGTTAATCTTCATTATTTATGTTATTTAATTGATATATTCTTGGCATTGACCAAGTGTAAATATATCAAGCATTCATCATGTTCATTCTAGACGCATGTCCTAGGTTTTTCATCATGTGCATACCACTGTAGTGAGGTCAGGCTTTCGTGCGCCTACTACATCGGGCCCATCCCGGAACCTTTGGGATCCAACGGGTTTTCATCATGTGGGCCTTGTGTACGTACATAGTAGTCAGGTTACGACTACTACCCGGTTTTGCTAGTCCACTTGCGACATCTTTGTCGTGCCCGACTCGTTACCGTTCGGGTACGATAACCGGGGTGCAGGGGTGATCCTGTCGAGTGAGACTAAGCCAGGGTGTGTCCCTGATAGTTCAAGTCATGCATCAGGTCATACCATCATCATGTATGTTTCCAATCATCTTGTTATATGTAATAGCCCATAACAGGTGAAAACTAAACAGTTAGTAAACATGTGATTTTTCGTACGTTAAGTACATGTATTAATATGTGTAAAGCCATATGGGTTATCGCTTAATGTTCTTTTTTTAGATTCACTCCTCAGCTTTTGCTGAGCGTGTAGTTGTTTTTGCTACATGCAGGTAGACATGACGTTGCAGGTGTCAACCCTAGAGAGCAGTGACGATGGGAGATGGGCAGCGCTCAGACGAGTTCATAATTATTTTCATTTACTCAATTAATCATTTGGGCATGAACCCACCCTTGTCGTTTATTTAATTTGGACTGAACTTACTTATTTACTTCCGCATTTACTCTGCATTTATGTCATACACGTTTTGGGGGTAACTCCCTAGCATTTATTCCACTAATTAAAACTCAACCGTTTCCATAATTAATTTACATTAATGTTTTACGTTACGGACGGTTCTTGGACTGCTCATGTAACCCTACCGGTCCGTTGGGTCGCGGGTGAACCAGATCCACGGAAGGCGGGTGTTACAGAAACTGACTATGCAGATGGTCATGAACCGAGCAAGAAGATGAAGATCGTTAAGATTGAGAAAATTTAAGACTAGAACTATTATGTTAGCTTGAGTACTATTCAGTTCTTGGGATTTGATTTATGTGTTAGACGTATTACTCCCTCCGTCCCAAGTATTTGTCCACTTTCATTTTTACACACCATCTAATGCACTTCTTTAATCTATTTTATCTTGTATTTTGTATATTAAAAAATTATAGAAATTATATATTAATAATCTATATGTTAAGACAAATCAAACAAGATCACACATGACTATATTTAGGTTTACACATTGAGAGAATTTGATAAGTCAAAGTGCTTAGATGAACAGTTCCAAAAGTCAAAAGTGGACAAATATAGCGGGACGGAGGTAGTATAATTTATCATTTTTGGATTCTTTGTTGTTTGAATTTAAAAATTTAAAATTTTGTGTCATATAATTTTTTAAATAAGATTGCATGTCTGAATAATTTATACTCAATTGAATGTCCTTACACTCATATTGTATACTTTGATCTATTATATACTTCATAATATAAATTAATGTTATATTATTATGCCGAATAAATCATTCATTTGTGTTTGTTTTGAAAAAAATTACTAACGGAGCTATTAATACTGATTTTATTGGTTCTCCAAAATAAAAAAATGAGTTTAAAAATTACAATTAAGAGCAAAACTTTTGAACATGTAAAATTACCTAAAAATAATCATACGCACTTAGTTGTTTTTTAAGAAACAAACACTATTTGTTAAAGCAATTTGGCTTTTTAATAATCTTTTCATTTTCTAAAGTCGAAATGAATACTTTAAATAAAATGTGACATTATATTTGCATATATTATTTATGATTGACCATTTCAAATAAGTGTTATACGTTTTGACGACGTAAATGTATGCAAATGAAGGAAACAAAGTTATACGAAGTGTGCATAAAATTACAAAGTAGTTTCTTACAATTATATTTTCCTTCTTTTTCGTTTTTTAAAAAATATAATATATTCTCGGAGATACTAAGGGGCTGTTTGTTTCAGCCTCTTAATGGTTCAGATATCTGAATGGTTCAGCACTTAATGGTTCAGACTGTTTGTTTCAGCCTCTTAATGGTTCAAATGTCTGAATGGTTAAGAGATTTGCCTCTGAATGGTTAAATATTATACAGAGTCTGAATGGTTAAGACCTCTTATCTGAATTGATCAAACATTTGCCTCTGAATAGTTAAGCAATATACTAGCTCTTAATGGTTCAGACCTCTTACTGGTTCAACACTTAATGGTTCAGACCTCTTACTGGTTCAGCACTTACCCATTCAGAAGTTGCCAAACAGCGCCTAAATAATATACAACATATATTATACTATGTATATAACAATCTTCTAAGAACAAATATGAAATAATAAGCCCTCTAGCTCAAAACTATTGTCACAATATACGGAGTACTTTTTTTTGCAACATATGCAGTATTTCGACGACAAATACAACGATCATACTTCTTCTGTCAGTATTTGTGTATTTTTGACTATTTTGTTAAAAAATGATCGATAAAATTTGACCTTAAATTAAATATAAAATGAGTTCGAGTTGACACAAAATAGTTTTGTTAGAGTTATCATATCAAATATTTTCAAACTATTGTTATAGCTAATTAATATACAAATTATATTTTACTTATTTAAAGGTCAAAAATATATAACAATTGACTAAAAAGTCAAAAAAAAAATACTCAGAAACAGAGGTAGTAATATCAATTAAAAAGTTATAAAATTTTTAGTTCTTGATGAAATATATTTATGACAAAATACAGTATACATTGTAAGTAATTCTGCTCTAGAAAACTTTATAATCAACGTGTTATGAAATCTTATGAAAATATTATGACTGTGATAATATGTTTGAGAAACGTGATGGTTTTAGATACCAATAATTCTCACCACTAAATTCACGCATTAGCTAGGTTCAATGTTACCAAAATAAATAGATACCACTATGTGAGAATAGTTACTTCATTTTTTGGCGTGCCTAAAAAAAATAATTACTCAATACTTTAATTTGTGTTACACTTTGATCAAACTTGATACTTTTTTTAAAATGTTTTTGCATATAATCAAGCCTGTGTATCTTAATACATCCCAGAATAAATAATGACTCAATACTAACTTTTTGGGATTTTGATAAGTGAACAATTAATAAATACGGAGTAATATTTTGGGGAAAATTAAGAAAACATATAAGATTGATAAACTTTGATCTTAAAACTCCGTCTGTCTCTCAGTATTTGTGCATTTTAGATTTTTTTGTCAAAATTTGATATTGCATATTGACAAAAAAATAGTTCTATTAGATTTATCATATCAAATATTTTCAAAATATTTACTTTATTTTTCGGTGTGTCCAACACCAAAAAAAACTTTAAAATATTTTATATATAAATTTGATAGTTTAATGTCTTGAAAATTGACATGTGACCATTTTAAAAGAAGTTTAGATTTTTTGATTGGTGTCTCTCGATCACATAATTAATGATTCATTCACGGAAAACTTCCACCGGCCAAATATCTTTTTCAGGAGCGAGAGGGATTGATTCTCCCCCAACATTAAGAGAACATATGAGCTTTCCTTTATCATTTGGAATTCAATCGCAAGAATTGTAATTCCCGGATTCTTTCAAAAAAGAATCAGTATTGTTTCCTACTTAGCAAATGCTTCTCCATCTCAGTAATCAGATGCCGAATTGCCATTTGATTTGGAATCGCTTAATTTCTGCTATTCTTATTCATATCTTACCAAAACTCACGCGAGGAAGCGATTAACAATTTCTTATTCTGTATTACATTTAGCTTCAAATTAAAACAAATAATTAGCAGAGTTAAAAATAACATGCGTTCGAACCCGTGCGTTGCATGGGTCAAATGCTAGTTAACTAAAAACAAACAACCTATTCTCAAGTATTAGCCAATATTAATATAATCATAACTATTACTCCCTCCGTCCCCGAATAAAATTCCCTTTTTGACTTTTTAAGGATTTAAGGAAGGGATATTTTTGTATTGAATTTCCAAAAATACCCTTGCTGTGATGTGTAAAAGTAAGATGTGATATATATATTATTAGTAAAAAGGTATGATGTGATAGGTAGAGATTGAAAAGGTAAGGGGTAAAAAGAGTTTTTTAAGGAAAAATAGAAATTTATTTGGGGACAAAGAAAAAACTAAAGGGGAAGTTTATTAGGGGACGCATGGAGTACAAAATAAGCTTGTGTAAAGCCAATAAGCTGAATCGAAAAAAATGAAAGGCATTTGCCCAAAATAACAATAAAGTTTAGAGAACTCATAAAAAATTTCTCCCAACATTTTTGAAATACCTTATTTTCTTTTCTAAATATTCCTTTTTTAATAAATACAAATATAAATAGTTTGCATAGCACCTGCAACAGTTTAAATAAATGCCCAAAATTCAAATTCTCCAAGCATTGTTATAACGAAGTAGTTAAAGTGTTCAACAACTCAACCCAACATAGAGTTATCAAACACATAGTTGACGTAAGTAACAATTTACGAAAATGAGCAAATTAACCCACAAAATGTCAAATAAATATAAACATTGGTCAAATTTGTCTTGAATTATCTAGAGACCCAAGCAGTTAGAGATTATATTTTTCGTATATTGAATAATCAAAATTAAGGAAATATAAATTAGTAGTCTAAAATGCCTGTCTACAATAGAAAACAGTCCTTAAAATAGAAACAAAAATCAAAATTTCCATCAATTATCCAAACATGCCCTTTAACTTACACAACCGAATTGGCGAGAAACTTTAAAAATAAAAAAAGAAAGAAAATATGAGGACAACTAGACCTGACAATAAATGACCCGACCTGTTTTTGACCCAAAACCCGACCTGAAAACACTGAGTTTTGAACAAGAGTTTTGATGACCGAACCCGAAATGACCCACTAAAAATAGGTCAAATCCGACCGAACCTAAACCCGACCCAACCGACCTGCTAAAGTAAGAGTTTTCAAAATTATAAACTTTACTACTCGTTTTTAATGTATAAAATTTTATATTTTAAGACAAAAATTTAATGATATTGCATAATTATCTTACTTTTTTCTAAAACTTAAGCATTTTTTAAATTCTTTAAATTGATTTTTATATCTAAAAATATTTTCAAGATTTAAAATAGAATAATCTAATAGATTTAATACATATTTTTTTATATTTTAAATTTATTTAATAGAAAAGATAAGTGTTAATGCGAATTTTAAAATTTAAAAAACTAAAGTCATAACCTGTTCGGTCGACTCGAACCCGATGACACTGGATCATAAACATACTATTCTCAACTCAAACCCGAATTGATTCGAATTCGAAATAACCCAAACTCGAAATGACCGAACCCGAAACCGACCCGACCTATCGTTTTTCCATCTCTAAGGACAGCCCAAGGCTTTCCAATTACCCGACCCAAACCCGAATAGAATGATCCGTTTTCCCGATTCTTGTTCATCGCAGTACATAAAATGCGATTCTCCGCTGTGAGCCCTGACCATACACTCCACCAGTCCACAACGACTCCCCGCACTCTCTAGCTGTGCTTAAGATCAAACTCAACCTCAACCTCAATCGCAGACCGATCGGCTTCATAATCACGCGCCGTCGAGGTCGGCCATCCGGTGGCATACTTCGAAGTAAGCTGTCTTCGTCTTCATCTTTAACCCCTTCGGTTTTTTAAGGCATTCCGGAGAACACTAATCCGCCTCTCTGAAGGGGTTTCTTATTTATTCAATTCTTTATTCACTGCAATCGGAGGGGGTTATTAGGGTTCTTACCGCATTAAATCTTGACTTTTGTGTTGGGGGTTTGCCGCAAATGAATTTGATGCAAATTGTGTGTGGTTGTTAATGTTTTTTTCAATCGCTTTTTCATCTTTACTACTTTGATATTATCAAGCTCTAGCTGTAAATTGGGGTTAGTCATTGTGTATTGTACATTTGTACGTTTAATTTTGCGGGTTAAATGTTGTTATCTACCATTTTTTTGAGATTATCCACTTCCTTCTTCATTTCCTTTTGTTGTCCACTCTTTAAATGATACACTTACTATCAAGAGTCATATATACTATTGTGTTCGTTGCCTTTTGTTATTTGTTTTCCAAATCATATCATTGCTATCACATTTTCTCTTCTTTGTTAGTAGCCAATTCAGTTACAAGATATTCCTATTTCTCTGTTGAAAGATTGCAACAATGGCTAATATGGTCATAACAACGATACTAGAAAAGGTATTTTCCAACTATATGGTTGTCATTTAGTGTGGGTGTGTGTTACTCTTAGTAGTTAGGTGATTGGCTGCTCGTTATACTTGATTTTTTGTAATGCCCTAATTTGACTATAATTGCAGATGACTGGAAAGGACAAGGATTACAGATACATGGCAACTTCTGATTTGCTCAATGAATTGAATAAAGAAGGATTTAAACTTGATGCTGATCTTGAAGCAAAGGTATCTAATGTTGTAATACAGCAGCTAGATGACGCAGCGGGTGATGTTTCTGGATTAGCTGTAAAATGGTATGCATTTTTAATGATTTATTTTGCTTTTTTTACCTGAATTGAAAGATATCACGTTCCATGCACATGCCACATGTATGTTGGTCAGTGGGTGCATTGCTTCTTTGCTTATACCAACCTTCAATTGATCACCCAAAATATAAAGAATCACAATTTTAGCACCCTTCATTTTGGGATGTTCTAAAATTGTAAAATACATGTCCTGTCTTCTTTGGTGCGGAATCACATCTCTGATTATCGAATGGTTTGAAAAATATTTTGCTCTTGAATTTTCTCCAATCATTGAAATCAACATTTTAACAATGATTTTTATTTGAATATTCCATTATTACCTAAATTTACTCGAATATGCAATCACTTTATCTACTATTAATCTTAAAGTCTTAATTCCTACTAAAGTGTCTTATTCCTTAAGATAGGATCATGTTTGGAAGTTTTGAGTTCATAAAGGCTGATATCTAATATGAAACAAGGGAGTTATGGGAGATGTTTGTAATTTTGTGCTAGTGTTTCAATATTGAGGTTTATGTTCTTTGTCATGTTTCCTTTGTTTTTGCACCTTAAGTTTTATGCAGCAGGGTATTATTCTTGCATTGCAGTCTGTATTGTAGCATTTTCGGTGAACCACTTGCTTCTATAAGGATGAATCTCTACAAACTATAATGTTGTACTTGTGTAAAGATTCAACATCTGGGACAACCTTCTCCCTTGCTCTCTTCGGAATATCGAGGCGCTGCAATTCATTCTCAATTACACCAATTCTATTCAAATATCTCCAAGATTGAAGTGGGTCTTTATCCATCTATGACAAAGTTGAGAAGTTCAAAATCCTCTGCACCAGTCAAAGATGTTGCTTCTTCCTCGATTTAAACTAAAACTATAGAGCAATGTATTTGGCTTAAAATGGAAAGGAATCTCTGATATGTTTAGCACATATATTTGCATGACACACAAGTCAGTCGGGGATGTCAAATAGAACGTGGTTGCTTATAATAGGACTGCATATAGGCAGAGTTGCACTGCACTTAAGGTCTTCGAAGAATACTTCTTAGATGCTAATGAAAATGATGAGCAGCTTTTTCTGTATCATGTGTCTTATTCCCCAGTTTTATTATAATCCAACTCATGAAAACATAGAAATGAATCACCCTTAGGACACCTCAAATGATTCACCAAATAAAGACAAAAGTTTAAGTTTTGCGTCCTTCCAAAATTGAGTCCTGGAAGAAATTATATGCAATGGATGAATAAGATACTAGCACCCCTCGATTATGTGTTAAAAAATGATCTGAATGAAGAAATTACAGTGACTCCTGTTAGAATAAGTGACCAACGCTAGAGGGGGGGTGAATAGCATTTGATCGCAGAAATCGCAGGAATAAAAAATTAAGAACGTGAAAAGTAAAGAGCGTAGAAAGCTTAAAGGGAGCACACCAAGATTTATATTGGTACACCACAACATGTGGCTAATCCAGTCTCCCGAGAGACTCTCTCGAGCTACACTACTTCCGTTAAGCTTACGGGTGCTTAACAAACCGTTACAACCTGAGAACTCGAGTCCCACGAGCCTCAACAACCTTGCTCGGAGATACCGCACTCCAAGACTTCAACCCGAAGGAAAATACCTTTCCTTCGTACAACCAAGGGAAACAAGCTTCCCTTAACGTGTATACAACACTAAGACACTCCAGAACAAGGCTCTCTTTTAGAGTAGATGTTGAGTAAACTATATACGCTCAAGAACAACTCAAACTTCACA